GCTGAAAATCGACGTTTTCAAAATCTAAAAACTGAACCCTCAAAACATGCTCTTGGCAACCATGTACACCATGGCCTAGTTTTTGAAATTCTAGGCAACAAGTACTTATGTGAGTTTTCCTTTTTGGAGCTTTTAAATTTTGAGAAAAAAATGAAATCCAGGACATGGTTTACATGGTTGCAAAGAGCATGTTTTGAGGGATCAGAATCAGTTTTCAGACTTTGAATATGTCGATTTTAAGCCGAGTTATAATAAATTTGGGAAAATGTGGCCTAGTTTTGGATTTCTAGGCCACCTAACTGAAATGGGCATAACTCGGCTTAAAATCGACATTTTCGAAATCCGAAAGCTGATTCTGAATCCTCAAAACATGTCCTTTGCAACCTTGTACACCATGACCTAGTTTTAGAATTACTAGCCATTTTCTAGGCCATGACCTAGATTTCCAAAAATTGGTGAATATGTTCCAGAAATCATGGATTCCTGGATACTTGGATTCTTAGCTGGATTCCTACTCTCCTGAAATTCTAGATCTTTTACCGGTTTACGGTATTCCTAGCTTTCAAAGCAATCCCTTCTTTTCCAGACCACGTGGCTCCTGCGTCTCGCTTGCTATACAGCCGACGTCGTTGCATCTCAAGTCGTCGAACTCCTCATCGTGGCGGTCCGTGATTCATCCGTCGGCGGACAACTCAGCATCCAACTGGCCGATAGTATAATCGAAGCGGAGAATGGAGAGTTCATTGAGAAAATCATCAAACGATTCTTAATTGGAAAAGATGAACAATTGAGATGGACACTTCATGGAATGCTTCGTTCTGTTATCCAATTGGCCTCTCGTCAAAATCAGTGCTCTATCGTCAAGAAGCTCTACAATATGATGTATCCATTGGTGGCAAATCTTGGAGTGCAGGGTGCCCAACTAGTCGATCTGATTGCCACGTACGCTCCTCGCGTCTTTAGCTCTTCTGAGCTCGTTTCAATGACACAATCGGAAATCTCAACCATCCAAAAACTGAGCAATCTTCTGAATGAAGAAGGATATCGAGGGAATTATAGGTTGATGAGTGAATTGGGTCTCGGATGGAAGGCGATTCAATTCGACCGTAATCCGTGTCTGGTGTGTTTCCAAACGAAAGGAAGTCACGATGTGGTGAAGATGACATCGATGCGGCAAGACGCTAGATACTCGCCCAACACGATGATTTATAAGCTGATTTCGAACTATGAGATTTCGAAGGTACTGTAGCTAGTTTTGTTTCTTATTCTGAAAATTCTGAAAATTGAAAAAAAAATTATAAAAAATCTTCAAAAATTCAAAATAAATAAAATAAATATGGAAAATGTTCACAATTTCTAAAAATTCTATAAAAAATTCAGAAATTCTGATTTTTTTCAAAAATTTCGAAAAGTTCAAAAGCCTGAAAATTAGCATTTTTAATTTTTTTAAAGATGTTTTTTAAAAAATTTGATTTTCTGAAAATTCTCGAAATTTTAAAAATTTTTTTAAATCCATTCTTCCAATTCTTGGAGCTTTGGAATATGCCTAATTTCAGAAAGTTCCAAAAAGGTCTGAAATTTTCTAAAATCCGAAAATTCCAAAATTTTGAAAACATCTAAAATTCTGGAATAGCCCCATGCTTCGACTCCATTTATCGAGGTTATTGTGAGAGGTATCAAATTTTTGTCAACTGATAAAATGCTTGTGATAATGTGATAAACATTTTATCAGTGGAAAATTTTCAGATAACTCTCATAGTCATCGAGATAATTGTGCTCAAATTAGATGCCGTATTTGCTCTAATAAAAGCCCACCCAAACCGTCAACTTTGAGCACAATTATCTCGGTTTCTATGAGAGATAA